AATTGTGTACAGCTTGAGGATGATATCGCTGAGAAGAGGAGTAACTCTACGCTGAACGTCTTTTCTTTTATATTCTGTCACTGTTTATTAATCCGCTGTTGATGACGTTAATGTTCTTTGATAAACAATCGTAACACGACAAAATATATTTCTCTCCCTTTTATAGACAGACTTGACAATGAAGTAATGAAAAGGCTGAAAAATTTTCCAAAAGAACAATTCAAAGACGTTTCAAGTGAAAATATAACAGAAGTAAGTATTCAATAATCAGTTGCAGGATTTCATCATGCGCTGATATACTGGACAGCTGTTTCGTCCTAGTTGGAGACTCTTCACCAGTACGGGGTTTGAACTCAAAACCTTCTGGTTACAGGGCTAGTGAGCTCATAGAACAATAAGCCACTGAGACCCGAATCAGTAGCCAGCCCATGAATTCCAACTCCTGCCAATTCACGACACAGCGTAATCGCTAGCCATTGTCTTCCAGCGAGTATTTATCCTCACACTCGACCTGCTTCATTCTACCGGTCACGACTTCCTAATAGAACCCCAGGTAACTACCTACCTGAATAGGGCCAGTTGCTAGTGAGCATCTCATTGATAGTGTAGGGATTCGACTGATTGGTTAAAGGATTTCATCATGAGCTGACATTGGTCCTGGATTCGAACCCTGGTCTTGGGTGCATACTGATGAAGAGTCCCGAAGTAGATTGACGAAACAGCTGTCTGGCAGTACTCCCTGTGGTTGGTTTTACAATGGTTCTCTGACCGATGTCAGCTCATGATGAAATCCTGTGACCAATCAATTATCTAGCCAGCAAGCATCGTTTCAACTACAGGCAGTCGGAACGGATGAAGATTTCAAGGCCAGGCAGCCAGAATCGGAAAGAAAAGCTACGCCTTCATCAACCTGAAATCATCTAGGAAATCTCCTGCACTCCGCAGCATAAAGAACTAGATTCGGATTTCCAACACAAATATGAAGTCAGTCAATTCTTCTATATGGGGCAGAAACTTGACGCGTGTGTGTGTGTGTGTCACGAAATGCATTTCCAACAGGTTGCAAGCTTTTATCAACAGCTGCCTTCGATGGCTGGCTCCGTATTGAAGATCAAATGGTCGACCGGCCAAAAACAATTACCACGAAGAAACTATGGGAACAAACCAATGAAGAACTTATTGCTCTTATTGCTCCGCGCTGAGGAGACTGTCGAATGACATCGTGTACCGGGCACAACCTCGAATGGTACCCGAACTGGAAACGCTGAGCTGGGCTGTGATCTTATGGTGACATGGAAGACACTACATACTACTGATTAATATAGATGAGTAGTTATATATGACTCATACCAACCAGTAGTACATATTTTCATGCATTCACACTTGATTTCATGATTATCATTGATGTGATGAAGCAGATCACATATCGTGATCTGAATAACCTCAGTCTCCAAAGAGAACTATGTCTAAACAACTATGAACTCGTCTGAAAATTGTGAATTTAACTTATTATGTCATTAGTTAGCCAGAAATCAGGCGATTTTAACTGTTTCGGCTATCTATACTGAATCTACTGGAGTACGCCACAGGTGAGCTTGCCTTCAAGCCAGCGAAACGGCCGTCTAGAGATGTTCAGATTACTTGAAATTGCTAGTATATACTGTAGTGAGAGCTGCCTGCAAGCCGAAATTGTAGACAACAGTTTACGTCCCAAATCAGTGTCATGAGCAAAAAAATCATAACAAAGCTTAACCTTGAGGTACTCAACAACCATTCACAGAAGACTTAACGTGCGCAAATACGATTCGCAGATATATGGCTTGACTTTCTAAGAAACGGCCACAAGCAGTACAGAATAACCTTCAGCAAGAAAACAACCAATCAGAAGACGTTGCTTCTCTGCTAACAATAATGCTAATAATAATGTACATAAAAATCTATAAATATCTGTTGATTTTCTCAATAAACAATTTGTTTAGATAAAGCAATAAGAAGACGTAATTTGTCTGAATCGTGTACTCTTGTATTTGCGCAACACATTTCGAACAATCTGATCACACACACACGGACTTGTCATAGGAATATATATGAAATTAATAAAGAGTTAAGAGGTGAGAAAATAGACTACTTAGGTCAAGTTAAAAAACCGCCATATTGAAGGTCAAATTAACAACGAAGATCACTAAGCCAAATAAGAGAGGTAATAGTACATCTGCCCTGACTGGTATCGAAACAAAGTTTATCAAGGAAGGTTTAGTGTGATGACGAATTGTTGCTTTGAACGCATACAGGTGGTTTAAACTTTCTAATTGCCAGCTAGGGCTTCCACAAACTTTAGGATATGCCTTCCACCAAACTCGTTTTATTTTCTCACCTCTTAACTCTTTATTAATTTCATATATATTCCTATGACAAGTCCGTGGAGTGTGATCAGATTGTTCGAAATGTGTTGCGCAAATACAAGAGTACACGATTCAGACAAATTACGTCTTCTTATTGTTTTGTCAAAATTAATAAAGGGAACTAATTGTTTTAAACAATTTGTTGCCTCGCCCTTGTCTTCTGTCGTTACACTACTACTGCTTGATATAATTGGCATATAACTTCTCATCTCACTCAACCAGTAGTACACAATTTCAGTAGCAGATGAGGACCTATAGGAAATCAATGAGCCAGTTAAAGAGGACTGCAGAAACAGAGTCCAACAAGATGTGCTGCTGAAGCCCTATGTTCCATTAAGAACCTAAGGGAATAATAGCAATTCATCGAATATACTTTATCCCCCTCCCATTTTATTTAATATAGATATTTACATGTTATGGCCTCTGCGAAACACATATACAACCATGCGACGAATAAGTTTGTGTAAATTCCTTTCAACCACCTTTTGCGTTTTTCTTATAAAATGTTTTGCATCTACTTTTATACTTTATAAGTAGTATGAAAATGTTGACATAATTTCTTTCCTTTTTCTTTTAGTTGGATTCGAAAAAGCCTTTTCCAAATGGATTAAGAGAAATTTTGGGCTACAAAAGATACTTCCAGGTGGGGGGATTGTTTGACCAATATATCTATAAAAATAATAATAATAACGAATGTCTGATTCTGAGCAAAGTGTTTATACAATGTACAAAATTTAACCGGACTGATGGTAGGCTGACATCAGTGAGAGAACCATTGGAAGACCAGCTGGAAGTACTAGACAGGTGTTTCGCTCCAGCTTGGGACTCATCAACAGTACGCACACACTGGAGTTTCAGCCAGTTACTTTCTGGATGCGAAGTCAAACTATCATAGCCAAAGTCACAGTGACCTTGAACAACAATCAATCAGAATTCAGATGCAAAAAAGTCGCATAATCGTTTAAAATTGGACTAAAATTTATTGCAAACATGATATTACACTGTATAGTTGTAGCTTATGTGTTGTAAGAATGTCTCTCAGTCACAAAACAGATGATCTATACAGAAATCATACCATGCCCGATATACCCATTCATCCAAGTGACTGTAGGTCATGGTACTTTGAGATCCATTGATATTTCTGACAGTATTCTCCAACCTATTCCTAATTCTAACCCTAATCCTAACTCATAATCCTAACTGACGATGAAATCCTCCAACCAATTAAAGAAAATCCCTACCAAACGAAACTTTGGCTATAATAGTTTAACTTCGCCAAGATGGCTTCACAGACCATTGAGATCGGATCAGCCCTGTAACCAATCAAACGCCTGCAAACCAACACTTTTATGGAATTTTCCCTTCGTCTATGATCCTCAATCAAAATAATGAGGGACAGTACATCGCATCAGCCAGTACTATTCCATTTGTAGTACATTTCAATCTTCCTACACATAACATATCCATAGCAGAAGTTTACTTGACATTTTAAATCCGACGTTTTTCAACATTTTTACTCTTTTATTGTATTAGTGATCATTTTTTTCTGAAACTGGGTCCGAACCTCACTGGAGTGGGTGCGTGCTGATGATGAGTCCCAAAATAGGGCGAAACAGCTGTCTGGCAGTACTCCCTATGGCTGGCTTTCCAGTGGTTCTCTAACTGATGTCAGCCAATGATGAGATCCTGTAACCAGTCAAATCCCTACAAAGCAACACTTGAATACCAGACATATTGTTGATACCGGACATCTCGTAGAGGTTTCTAAGTCATTGAAAATATTAAATAGACATAGGACAGCAAATTTACTACGATTTGCTGAAGCGATCGCAATCAAACGATTGAAACCAACCAGACTTATGCATACAGAAAGAGAGTGTGATTAACCTCTCACTTACAATCTTGGTAACTGAATTTTGATTTTGATTACATTGATTAGTCATCTATTTCAGTGATCTCAACTCACTGAAGAAATCTCATAAACTGTAACTGGTTTTTTTGTTTTCTTGAGTTGCTATGTGGACCTACAAGCCAACAGTGTTCGTTAGTTTTCTCTGTTTTATGTCTTACCCCTCCTCCCTTTTTTCTACTTTGAAAGCGAATAAATTGATGATGCAAAAACTTAAACTAAAAATTGTAATGCTTATATTTTGGATGCGTTTCTTGTATAGTATTTCTTCTCTACTACCACTATTATTACCAATGTTGGAGTATGTTATTATCATCTATATAACCACTGTAATTTCAGGTAGTTTACAGCAGCTGATGAGAACCCGTGAAACAGAATGATGATATCATTTTATACTGCAAATTTCGTCTTCCTTCCTTTCTTTATCGTAATTTTTAAATGTTGGTTTTCAGTGATTTGATTGGTTAGAGGTTTGATCGTGAGCTGACACCAGTACTTACTGATTGTCCCATAGTTCTTCAGCTGACATTCCATGATCACACCTGTAACTTTTCAATTTAGATACCTGGAAGCAATCATGATGGTGAATTTTTTGAATAAAAGACGACACATGCATGACGTCAAGTTACTACTTTGTGTCTAATCATCAAAAGCATATATTCCCGTTTTATTTTTGTTTTGTATTTCAGATTATTGAGAAATCAAATCTCTTGAGTGTCTACAATCAAATGTATGTCAGTCGACGTTTAGCTAAGAGTACATTGAAGAGGTATACACAACTACAAAAAGAAAAAATTAAACTTCAGCTGAATTGGAAACATTTAGCTTTCAGTGGCACTCGGAAATATCGTCATAATTTATGGAAATATAATATCCCTGAGATAATGAAGGTATGCATGTATTTTTGATAATCAGTGGAAATCATCCAAATTTTGTTATGATTTTTCTGTATTATTATTATTGTCCCCCTGGGTTCCCAGTGGAACATTGGGGTTCCAACAGCACATCTCCATTTCACCCCGTCCTCTGTAGTCTCTTTCAGATGACTCAACGATTCCTCCATGAGCTTTCACCTCTTCTACCTCACACGACCTATGCCCAATACTCCACTTAACATTCGAATTCCACTAGATGGTTGACCTGACTGGCGAACCTATTGGTTATTCGTTGGCTCATTTCCAGGATTCCTTATTGATTATCCTTTCTGGCCATCTGCCCTTCAAAATCGAGTCAACGAAGACAGCTGTTGATGAAATTATGCAGTAGCCTGTTCGAAATGCTCTCGGCTGAGGAGGCTGTTCAGTGATATCATCCACCTCATCCACCCTCAAGTAGATCTTGAATATGAGGCAATGGGATAGGCATTTGAATGTGATGTGGAGGAGATCATGTGGAATGAAGAGATGACAGCTTGTTTGAATCTGGTCACTACTTTCACTTACTTGGGTGAGCAGCATCGTTTCATCTGGTGGATGTTACAGCTAATTAGGATCGGAAACTCAAGCCAAACCTACTTTACCTTGAAACAAGGGCGGAAATATATTCAGAACTCAAAATGAACGGTAAGATTCAGTGCTTGTATTTGATTCAGGGACTTGGGCTACTGGAGAATTTCATCAAAGACTGTCTTCGTTGGCTCGATTTTGAATGGCAGATGGCCAGAAAGGATAATCAATAAGGAATCCTGAAAATGAACCAGCCAAGAATCAATAGGTAAGCCCATCAGTTCAACCCTCTGTAGTGGGATTCGAATGTTAAGTGGAGTATTGGGCATAGATCGTGTGAGGTAGAAGAGGTGAAAGCTGATGGGGGAATCGTTGAGTCATGTGAAGGGGACTAAAGAGGATGGGGTGAAATGGAGATGTGCTGTTGAAGGCATGTTTTCTCCTCGGAACCCTAGGAAACCGGGGGTCATATGAATGCGTGTGACACTGGTTCTTCGTTTACCGCTGCACTAGCTACGCTGGCTTCACCTCTCAATCCTGTTTTCATTCTTCTTTTGTTAAATTTAGAGTATTCAACTTGATAAAAATGACCTTGAATATGCTTTCAAAAAGCTGAATAAACATCTGGATTTGGACTACATAAATGTTAAGGTGACAGAGGTAAGTGTTAACTTGACAATTGGGATTTGTGTGTAACTTTGGTTTTATCTTTTCCCTTCACTATTTCTCTGATTACTCCAAAGAGAAGTTTTCAAGCTCCAGGAATAATGGTGCTATTCTTCTTTTTATGAAGCGAGATGGTTCGCCTCATGACCGACCGACCTTCCCTCCTTGTTCGGCTTGCTATTAGAAAGCTTAAGAGTACACCGTCGGGAAACCGAAGCTGAATTCTGTCTCTGTCTCATCGGTTGCTAACTATTATTTTCAGCATATTAGTGAATATAGCAGTTGTCAAAGTCATTTAAGACCTACATACTCAGCATCTCTGTAAAGTGTTTGAACTGTTATTTCAGACGGTGAATGCACTCTTGCCAACGATCCACTGTGTGTTTTCTCTTGGGGTGTCGATGGTATTGGTGTTGTTGTGAATTACCTTGTAATTAGAGAATCGCCCAACCTCTACTTTCACAATTTGTCAACTCTTATATCTTACCTATTCTACTTTACTGCTCCTCGTTCGTCTTTCCTGGGCTACTGAAAAAAAAACTACACCATCTTGAGAAGGATGTTGAAGGTAGTTAGTAGGACTAGTCGTGTAAAACTCAGTCAGCCCATCACTACATTAGTTGAAAGGCATCTGAATACATGAGAAAAGTGGTCAAAAACCATACTCTCCGACCCCCGAACACCCCCTCTATTCCCAACTCTCTCCTTGTATCTCATCAGGTAGAACCAGAAATCAGTATAAAATAATCTATGCTCGTACAACCAAGTACAGGAACTCAACGATACCATATTTGGCCCGTGTTCTAAGTGACGGAGACAATATTAAGCGCGAAACCTATGACGTGCTCTGTTGTTAATAACATAATTTTGGGCTCTTTTATTTCTCTCTTATTTTGTATTCTTTAGTGAACTCCTTCTTAAACATACTTAGCTACCTAAATTATTAACACTGGCTTACTTCTTTGTACTTTACTGTATTCCTTCTTTTGTGTATCTACTGGTTCCGACTATATTAGCACTATGAGTATCACAAAATTGTCCTGTCATTAACCATCATGTAATTATTAGTTTTGTGGTTTATTTTTGTTCGGCAATATTAACTGACAATCATTGGTTGTGAAAGCCATTATTACCATCTTAAAATTTTGTATTATGCAGGATTACTCACACTACCACTACAAACACCGCATTAGAGCTGACAACAAAACAACCCTGAAATGTTATTTTATGATTGTTTAGAGTTGTTTCAACCAAATTAACTGGTCATCTTGGCGATAAACATTCTTAAATATGATTTCATAACTTCTTGTGTGACTATAGTTTTACTGTCACCATGCATAATCATATCATAGCTTCCACTACCCACTGCTGAGATATTATTATATGCTGTTTATTTTCATTTCTACTTCTTGGTTTTTTCGCATTCTTTTAATTATTTTTGTGTTTTTTGTGTTTGTTTTGTTGTTGTTGTTTTTATATTTATTTTTTGAAATACTCCTTTTAAATGTTGGATAAAATTAGATGCAAATATTGTAGATATGTGCTGAAAATTCCACACTGTACCACTAGTACTGTTTCTGGAATAAAGCAAATTATTATTATTATTAATATGGCAGTCTTTTTTAATGCATTAAGTCTGTATAACTCTCAATCTACTAAGTCGTATTATTGGTGAGTGGCTTTTCTCTTACCTGACTTGGTGGACTCTGCAGGTCACGACTTCTCACTAAAAGTCGATATTTAGCATCAGATTAATTTGCAAGTATTGATTTACAGGGGTTTGATTGATTATCGGTTTGATTACAACCTGATATCAGTTACAGAAACAGTGAAAACCAACAGAGAGTGCTGAGTAGCTGTTTCGTCCTAATTTGCGAATCTTCAGCAAAACGCACTCACAGGAGTTTGAACCGAGAACCTTCATGTCACAGGGCCTACGAGCTTGCTTGCCTTAGTCTAGCACGAACTAGTAACTGTCTCTATACAAGAAATTGCCTGCAGTTCTAGTGAGGAGTTTCGAATACCAGGATCTACTAGGTCGTATCACTTTTCCTTATTAATAAAACGGATCAATTTCAAGTTTGAAATAAGTGTAGTTGTTGCCTACGCATATCATTTAACTGTAGTACTTTAGTCATTCTTAATTTTCTTATCTTTCAGATTGTAGAAGCTGTTTCTCACTGGTGTATTGATATCAATCTGTTCATTGTCCTGGCATCGTTGGCTGAACGTTATAATGGCGTAGAGTAAGTTTAATGTTAGCAAGCTTTTTCATCCAAACATAAACATTGATTTCAATATAATTCTCGTCATAGAACAACATCGACTAGAGTTCGGTGAAAAGCAGGGAGCATTAGACAGCCGTTTCGTCCCAGTTTGAGACCCTTCATCAGTACGCATCCACCCAGTAGGGTTTAGCAGGTCGCGCGTGAGGACAAATACTCGCCGAAAACATTAGCTAGCGGTCGCGCTATGTCGTGAATTGGCAGGAGTTGGAATTCATGGGTTGGCCATTGGATTGGATTCCAGTGGATTAATGGTCTACGAGCTCGCTGGCCTTGTAACCAGAAGGTCCTGCGTTCAAACCCCATAGTGTGGGTGCGTACTGTGAGGAGTCACAAACCAGGACAAAACATCGTTCCAGTACTCCCAGCTGGTTTTCCAATAGTTCTCTAACCGATGTCAGCTCATGATGAAATCCTGTAACCAATCAAACGTAAGTCCCTACAAACCAGCACTTGAATATCAAACTGGATCAAAGCTGATGAGGTCAACTTCAAACGAGCGAAAGGAGTGTTTGGATAACTTCGATTTGGTTAACGAGGACTACTGGTTGATATGAGTGGCATTCAAATACTCATCTTAATTAACTAGTAGTATACGCTTTTATGTACGAAATCATGCTCACCTAGTAATCATGATCGATATTGTTTGACTACCAAATTTAAAAAACTTAAACATTTATACTTCGATTAGTCATTAGGTCGTGCTGACTGAGTTATATCAACCAAGTTTGCGATGTAGTCAGTATGCTAGATGACTCACTGTCATGGTACACTATGAATTGTTTTTGGATAATTGATGGAAACTGGTAGGAAATTTTGGACCCTGGTTTCATACCTGTTGATACTCATCAGCAAGGTGTAACTGAAATCTTGAAGGGACTCATGTTTCCTCTGAGATTCAAACCCGTGTCTCCCGGTGTTGCATTTAACTTTTTTTTCAAAAAGCGACGACATTAAGCATAACTCTGAGTTCAAGTCTACTAATGCACTCCAACGGGGACTTCAGTTCATTCGACGTTGCATGTAAACCTTGTTGACAAATTTCGACATGTGTGTGTGTAACCTACATCAAGAGTTCCCTGTCTACCGCTTCCGCCGATGACTAACAATAATTCAAGGTGTATCACACTGGGAATTCCCCTTGCTGTTGATTATATCGCAGAATTTGACTGATAGAATTCAGTCAGCGCCGACATTTAGCCCATCTGATTGGAATACGTCTGACTAACAATCGTCAATTTGCCCTGAGGATTTAACAGTTCTACCGTCTGGTAATTATTTAATATATAATTCTGCTAACATGACACCTCTATAATAATAATAATTGATAATAATGGTTTCTTACACTTTTTCAGATCACTGGTGAGAAATAATATATATAAAGTTGGTGCGCAGTCATTACGCGGGAAGATTAAGAAGGCGAGAGTAAGTGTACAGTTCAAATTTTTGAATCTATATTACTATTCATATGAACTGTGATCAAGATTTGACCGGATAGTTGCAAAATAATTGAGCGCTGAGTGAGAAATAGACATTTATAAAATTATATTTGTAAAATCTCAGCGAAATTGAAATGATTAATTCCAACGTTTCGTTCGGCAATCTGGTCCGAACTTCTTCAGGGAAATTAATCGAATTAAAATAAACAGGTTTATATATAAAAGGAACAATTCATGTTTTTCAATTTTGTCCAATCATGAGTCATGCAACAGGCATCAACATGTATAATAAATAAATTAATAAAATAGTATGTTTATATATGAAAGTACATCTCTTGTTTTTAAATTGTTAGTCCTGTCATGTGAATCCAGAAACAGGCATCAACATGTATAATAAACAAAACAAAACAAAATCTTTAATACGAACTGTGATCAAAATTTGACCTCAGGCTATCAAAATTAGTCTACTTTTGTTAAAATATATGTGTATATGTGTTATGCAGTATCAATGGTGTGTGTGTGTGCATGTGTGTATGTGTGTTTTATGACTGTTCACCCACACACATACACACATGCACACATACACACACCATTGATACTGCATAACACATATACACATATATTTTAACAAAAGTAGACTAATTTTGATAGCCTGAGGTCAAATTTTGATCACAGTTCGTATTAAAGATTTTGTTTTGTTTTGTTTATTATACATGTTGATGCCTGTTTCTGGATTCACATGACAGGACTAACAATTTAAAAACAAGAGATGTACTTTCATATATAAACATACTATTTTATTAATTTATTTATTATACATGTTGATGCCTGTTGCATGACTCATGATTGGACAAAATTGAAAAACATGAATTGTTCCTTTTATATATAAACCTGTTTATTTTAATTCGATTAATTTCCCTGAAGAAGTTCGGACCAGATTGCCGAACGAAACGTTGGAATTAATCATTTCAATTTCGCTGAGATTTTACAAATATAATTTTATAAATGTCTATATTACTATTATTGTTTCCTTTAATTCCTAGAGGAACATAGGGCTTCAGCCGCACGTCTCCATTACGTTCAGTTCTCTGCCAACTTTTTCATCACCTGGCTCCACGTCTGACCACATGCTTCCATCTCCTCTTCACATGACCTCCTCCAAGTAACACTCACACTGACGACCAACTCGCCGCTTCCCATTCCATTGGGATTCCACTCGAGCAATGGTCTGGCGTGTGATGTCACTCACTTGATGGTTTGTTTTCTCAGAGAATGGCCACCTCCATTTCTTCCTGCATATTTGTTGCACAATTAGTTGCTGGTTGGTTTGCTCATTGCCAGAGATCCCTGTTGCTGATCTTTTCTGGCCGGCCATCTGATCTTGAGCGAAGTATTGAGCGAAGACAGCTGTTGATGAAGGTGTGTAGTTTGTTCGAAGTGGCCTTCGTGACGTGGCGCGGCGCGGCGCCAAGTCTCTGATCCGTATAGTGATTAGTAGCACTGACTTCACATTGGAGTTGAAAATCCGGATCTTATTTTTCATGCTGAGTTCTGAGTGTTGATCTCCACACAGACTTGAGAGTAATGAAAGCTTGCCTTGCTTTCCCTATCCTCGACAGTTCCGTCCGCCTGTAGTTGAGACGATGCTTCCTAGGTATCCACGAAACCGAGTTTGTTATTCAATTCGAATTCGGAAGTCACTCGGATATTTGGATGAATATTATTAAATAGAGTAATAAAGCTTTCAGTAGACTTACTATTATTACCAATAATGAGTGTATCACCCACACAACGACGTTTTATAGCATAAATTCTCCAAGCATACCTTGCATTTGTTTCTCCAATTTTGATATGAATATATCTGCTAACAGAGGCCCAAGAGGGCTCCCCATCGCAACACCATCAACTTGTTTGTATGCCTTTTCTGTACATATTAAGACGATGTTTCTGATGTAATTGACAGAAATAGGCAAGTTTATCCCATTGCTTGTGATGTAATCGCAAATGAAGTCAACATTTTCATGAAGAGTAACATTGGTGAATAAACATTCTATGTCGATTGAGCACATAAACTTTTCCTTAATTCTCAAAGTGTCTAACAGTCGCCATTAAAACGTATTCTATTTTAAACTCTGCACAGAATCATATTAGTCTTACATGCGAGGAAGAAAGTAACAACCAGCTCTCATTTTTAGACATACTTCTGAGTCGAAGAGACGATGGCTCAATAAGACGGTCTATCTACAGAAAGCCCACTTGGACAGGTCAATACCTTAATTTTCACAGTTTCTGTCCATTACAGTATAAAAGAGGCTTGGTGAAGTGTCTATATAAGAGGATTCAGCGTATTTGCACGGCTGATGTTATAGACAAAGAAAACGACATATTGATGGATATTCTTGTTGAAAACGGATATCCTTTGAAATTTTTAAACAGGTGTAGAAGTCAACTAGCCTCTAAACCTACAATCCATACCCTCCCTAAGAAAAAGTTTTTCATCAAATTACCATATAATGGGGAAATAAATAGTAGGATTTTGAGACAAAGGTTGAATTCCATCATCCGTAGAACCTACTATGCAGCCCAGCTTGTTATTGTGGAAAAAGCTAAAAGTTTGCTTCACTACAAACCTCAAAAGTGCACAAGTGATTATATCACATCCCACACAATTTACCAATTTTCGTGTGTGTGTGGACATACATACATAGGGAGGAGTAATCGTGCGTTGCACGTGAGGGTGGGAGAGCATATCCCAAAGTGGTTAGGAAAACAGATGAATTGTGACAAGCCCATAGATGCAGGTGCCAGACTACCAACTTCGTCTATAGCTAAACATTTAGTCGAGATGAACCATAAGGTTGATGTTAACTCAGCCTTTAAGGTTATCTATAAAAACGGTCAAGGACGTTTACTGAAATACGCTGAGGCTATAGCCATTCATGAACTTAAGCCCCCCTTGTGTATTCAAAAACAGTTTGTTATTACTCTTAACCTACCTTGGTAATCCTTATTTGATTGGATTACCAAACGTTTGTGTTAATTATTCTTAATTCCTTTTTTGTCACCTTGTTTAATTTAACTTTTCTATATATATTGACTTGACAAGTAAATGTGTGATCAGATTGTTCGAAATGTATAGCGCGAATACATCACATTTTTCAGATAATCTCCGTCTTCTAATAATGCTATCAAAATTTATAAAAGGGACTAACTGTTTTGAAAAGTTAACATTTGTTCCCATTTATCTCATCAAACAGGAATTGTTTGCACTAATTGGCGGGTTTGACAATAGACAACACTGTAAACAATCCTACAACAACCGATCGATATTCCAATCGTCAACCAATCAAAATCAATCTCGTCCCACTACTTCCACTACTACTGATACTTTTATCAGTAGTAAAAGTGCAAAAGGTAAAAATAATACGACAGAAAGAAAAAAGTTCACCCCATTTGATGAATATATTCAAGTTGACGATATGAAATTATTTTTCTACGCTGGTAATATACGTCAAAGTCATGTGGAAAGGTTAATTCAATACTTAGATCATCAGAATACCGGTAAAATTGATTTTATCACATTTTTAGAATATCTACCTTTATTCGTCGAGTGTCATAAACAAATTCTGTGTAAACCGCTTACAACTTCAGAAATATTTATTTCGTGATCCAATTCTTATCCATCTTTTTGTTAATATTTCCCCTGAGTAACAAAATCAATAAATAGCTCTGTGTTATCTCATCTAGAAGGTTGTGAACATCACAACAAAATAGATTCGTCATTGACGGAGAATCAACCTAACCTATGTATACGAAAGCAGCATATTCCTCCGCTTCATTTACTCCTGGCCTACCATGAGCTCATCAGAGAAGTAATGATCACATATTTTCATGACTTATTTCTACACCCTTCTTATCCCCTTTTTATCTAGTTTAATTCACACCATTATGATCATCATTATTGCCATTTGTCAGTTCTGGCTATTTTTGTTTTGTGATTACTGCTCACACTATTCAACCTGTTTATTTTATCAGTAAGTACATTTGTTATTCATTCAGCCCACAGAAACTTACATTCAATATGTGACTGATTTATCTATCGATACTTTTGTGGTCATTACATTTTTCTTTCACACATCAGTGAACATAATACATTGTCGATTATAAATACATTTCAGTATGTCAGACAATTGTCTGTTCACATTTTATCTTCTCTTCTGAATGACTATACCTTTTATGTACATTCACAGTTAGTTTCAAATCTTTGAATATTCCCATTTTTAAATAATAATAATAATCTACTTTATTCCAAAAACAGTACTTATAATACAGAATGGAATTCTCAGTATTTGTCACAATAGTGCATCTGATTTACTCAAAATATGAATAAAATTAAAACAAAATTAACCAGAGGAATTTGTCCACATTTACGACATAATTATTAGATATAATAATAATAACGGTGAGTTTGTTTCAAACAGTATTGTCGATTCAGTCTGGAAACTTTAGCATGTGACAGATTATTGGGTCTAATGTTCTGTTGATATAGAATAGTGAGGGGAAATACAAAGTTTACAGTCATAATACAGCTTAAAATTATGACCACACTTATGAAAAAGAAATAAACAAAACGAAAAAAATGAGAGGATTATAATAAAAGAAGTACAATAACAATAAAGTATGATGCTTTAAAAGTGAAGGAAATGGTTTATTTAGTGGTGCTAAGAAGGTTAGTTAGTTCATGCCTAACACTATTTTCATCACATAATGTACGTGTGAAATATGGTATAATGGAATTTTTATACTTAGACAAACGTGCATAAAGTCTTCTGGAAAGACCTCTTGTTTTACCTGAGGAGACACAAGGTTGGAGCTGCGGGTAGAGTGGATGCTCAGAGTCTGACAAAATTCCTTTAGCAAATTTGTTGCATGACATCAAATGCCTATCAGTGACAGTGTCAACTATATGGCAAAATGGGATACCACTCGTCCTACTGACAGTCTTCAAAGTTCTACGAAGTATGAAATAGTCTTTTTTAAGCAACTCAGGAAAGAATAAGTAAGGGTGAACAGTGAAGAAGAATAGGTAAGATGCAAGAGTTGACAAACTGTAAGAGGAGGAAAGGTTGAGTCATGCCTGAGTGCCTTGACTTCTTAATGCAAAATGTCAAACGAAATATTGTTTTAGAAATCGCTAAGACATGAGAGGACCAGGATAGTTCAGAAGAGAGAATTAATCCAAGATACTTAACTTCAGACTTGATTTCTATATCAGTATCATCGATTTTGCAAGGGTCATAGGAACCAACGGCTTCATTTAACTTTCGTTTGCATCGGAAACTGAAATTAACAGTCTTACATTTGGAAGGATTTAGCTTAAGACAGACCATTAGACGAAGACCATTTGCTAATTTCTGATAGAAAGTTGTTTATCTTAGTGCAGTCAAGCTGAGAGTTAACAGACATTGAAACAGTTAGATCATCGGCATATTTAAAAAAGGTCATTTCATCAGAGTGAGGCAAGTCATGCAAGAAGAAAGAAAACAGAAAAGGAGGGACACCAGCCTCAGTAAGCAATGAAGTGGACGACTTTCCCTAACATACAGTGTATCGCTTTCTTCCTGGGAAATAAGAATGCAGCCATTTGACAACCCAACAGTCAGTTTGAGTTTCAGCAAGCTTGTTTAGTAGAATGTCCCTAGGTACTGAGTCGAAAGCAGATGTATAATCTAGAAAGGTGCAGCGAACAAATTTAGCCCCCTTGTCTAAGCTGGAGACAATGTTATGATACAGGACTGCAGCTGCGTCCAAAGTACTTCTACTATGTTTGTAGGCGAATTGTTTGGGATCGTTAAAGGCTTTAAGTGAAGGTTGAAGATTAAGTAAGAGCAACTTTTCCATAGCTTTTATAAAAGGGGAAGTAATAGCAATGGGTCTAAATTTAAAACATGTTGCAGTAGACGACTTAGGAATAGATACAATTTTAATGTCTTTCCAAACGGCTGGCACGACATTTTTCGAAAAAGATTCGTTAAATATGTCCATGAGGGGATAAAAGCATATAAGCGAACAATATTGTTGTTTTCAATTGGACCTTCTTCAGGCTTTACTCTAATTTATATACCTTTATTAATAACAATTTTAACCGATGACGGTGATTTTGTGGGTCAAATAATAATAATAATGTGGTAAATTTTTTGAACGTTAGTAATAACGAAATATTGATAATAAGGTTTATGCACTTGGTGATAAGAATTACGAAGGTAGTGAGTGATATGTGTATATGTAGACAATTCAATAAATAAATAAATAAATTAGGTCAAATCTCAAAAGTTACATAGTACTCCGCCCTTTGTTTGTCATTTTTCTAGCTACCGACCGATTATGATCGCTCAAGCGAAAGACCAGCTAACTAGCTGTGCCACTTCTATGTGTATCTACAAATTTAGTTGTTTTTGTGAAGAGAGCTATATAGGGCAAACAGATAGACAGCTTAACAAACGCATTATTGAGCACCTCCCTTCCTTCATGGTTTGGAAAAGGTCAAATAAAAGAAGTTCTATTTTGGCTCATTTGATTGATAGCGGTCACCAAGTGGACAGAAGAAGT